TCATAACTGGCTTTATTTTGGTGCGTCCATTCAGGGGACACTGTCTGCTAGGATTTTGTCACAGGGTCTTAAAAGCTAGGGATGGAAAGCAGAACAAGCAGCACAACCTAACTCACGCATTCGCTAGACGGTCCCCATGCTCTTGCTAACCGACCACAGGAGACACGGAGCAAACAAACCCTCACATCTGGCTCGCATCCCCCCCAAGCTGCTCACACGCGCACAATTAACCCGACTCGTCGTGGGTAAAGCAGAGGGAAGGTCTTTTGTGACAGCTGGTCTCCAGGGATTGACACTGGCTGAGTCTAGGACTATATATGGGACAATATTATCTCGTAGAATCCAGTGGAAAATAAAACCAACAACCCCAACAGGAAACTGCGTCCCGGGCCCTTAAAGCTTCTCGTGGCTGTGCTAATTACGCTGGCCCCACCCTCTCTCTCTTCAGCTGCTTAGGGCAGGAACTCTCTGAGAACTGGCATAGACGGAGGTCTCTGAAAACTGGCAACTCATAGGTTCTCTCTGACCCTTGCTTTCCTTTTCCAATTCACAGGACACCAAAATTAATATCATAGGAACACAAACTAGTTACTCCAATAGCCCATTAGAGGTTGACTCTATGCAGAAGGGAGAGAGAATGCTGGAGGCCATGTGTACGTGCATCAGCTTTTCTCCAGAAAAAATACCCCAATTCTAAGGGCTCTGAAAAATGTAGAAAACGCGCCCTGTTACCATGGGTTTTTAGAACACCTCTAAACACACACAAAATAAGACAGTTATTACCTACAAATTTCAACCATTGCTTAAACTCTAAAAGCATTTTTTGTATTATTTTGTTTTGATACAGAAGGGGAAACTCAGCTATAAAGAAATATCAAAAAGTATCTTTTGTGGCAATCAGTCTCAGGGACTTTCTGTTGCTTGCCTCCCCCAACTTGTGCTGATATTTTAAGGATGTGCTCAGGAGTATGAAGTAGGGTGCTACTGTCCCTTTCCCTCCGAGTAATCCCCCCTCCCCATCCCACAGCCAAAGAGCCACCCCTCAAATGAGCCACTCCTTTTTGCTCTCATCAATGGTCTCTGTGAAGTTGGGGTCGTTGTTCATGATGGCGGCGTCTGCGCTCTCTGCTGACTCTGCTCCCTTCGCTTCATTGGTGTGGTAGGTGCCCTTGTGACGGAACATGTACCGAATGAGGAAGACCAAGGTGCAGAGGATGGTGAAAATCACCACGGCAATGACCCCTGGTGGAGACAGGAGACGCACAGGAGGTTAAACAAATCCTATACATCTGCCAGCATCTTCCCCCACTTCTTCACGGTTCCCTCAAACCTACTCTCCCATCCAACACACAAAACTCCAAAACGACAAAAACTAGCAGAACTGAAAAGAGTTGTATTTGGAGATTTCAACCCTCCTCTCTTGGTAACTGACAGAACAATTAAACAGAAAATCAGTAGGAATTTAGAAGACCTCAAAAACACTATTAACAAACTTCACCGAAGGAAGTAATGTCAATCCTACATGTCTGATTTAAAATAGAGGAGAAGGATATACTACTCAACTCATTTTATGAGGCCAGCATCATCCTGACACTAAAACCAGACAAACACATTACAAGAAAAGAAAGCGATGGAGTGTTCCTCTTTAATAAAATTCCAGCAATTGAAACCCAGCTATAGGTAAAAAGGAAGATAACAAAGTAGTGTTAATTATAGGAAAATAAGACTGATTTAACATTAAAAAATAAAGCAATGTAATTTATTACATTGAGTAAATAAAGGAGAAAAATCATATGATCATCTCAATAGAAGCACAAAAAGCATATGACAAACTTCAACACCCATTCATCATAAGAAACTTTCAACCTGTTAAGGGGCATCTTGGAGAAATCTACAGTTAATATTGCACTTAACAGTGAAATATTAAACACATTCCCCCTAAAATATGGCCAATGCAAGAGTGTCAGCTCTCAGCCCCTTTATTCATGACTGTACTGAAAGTCCTAGACAGTGCAATCAAACAAGAAAAATAAAAAAGTGTACAGACTGGGAAGAAGTAAGAACTCTATTCTCAGAGGATGGGGTTGTCTACATAGAAAATTCCGAGGAATATACAAAAAAGTGTTGCTAGAACTAACAGTAAATTTAGCAAGGTCAAATTTGTATTTTTATATATAAGCAAGAAAGACTTGGAAATGAAAGTAATAAAATACCATTTGTAATAGAACAAACTGAACACAGTTGTCTAAGATTGTAGACTGAAAATCATAGAACTTTGCTGAGAGAAACTAAAGAAGACCTAAATAAACGGATCGATATACTATATTTCAATGTCAGTATTGTTAAGATGTTCATTTATAGATCTAATATAATCCCAATGAAAATTACAGCAAACTATTTTTTTGGTAGAAATGTATAAGTTTATTCTAAATTTCATATGGCAATGTAAAGGGCCTAGAATAGTGAAAATTATTTAAAAAAATAATTGTAGAACTTACACTGCTTATTTCAAGACTTACTATAAAGACACAAGAATAAAGGAAGCATGGTATTGGCCAAGGAAAGACATACAGACCAACGAAACAGAACAGAGGCCAGAAAAAAGAGACACACACATATGGTCTGTTGATTTTTGACAAAAGTGCCATGGAAATTAAATTGGAAAAAAACATAGTCCAACTAGTGGTCTTCGAATAACTAGATATTCACTTAAGATTTTTGACTTTTATCTCATACTATACACAGGCATTAACTCAAAGTGATTATAGACTGAATAATAAAAACAAAAGGTATACAATTTCTAGGAGAAAATATAGGAGAAAATCTTCACAACCTTAGCTTAGGCAGATTTTTTTTTTTTAGATAGGGTTAAAAATCCCCACAAGCTATAAACAGGTTAGAAAAATTGGACTTTATCAAAATTAAAATCTCCTGCTTTTCAAAAAATGCCAGTCAGAAAATGAAAAGGCAAGCCAGAGACTGCAATAAAATATTCACAATACATATGTCTCACAAAGGACTTGTAGCCAGAATACAAGAACTCTTGCAACTCAACAGCAAGAAATCAAACAATCCAATTAAAAGACAGGCAAGATTTAAACAGGCACTTCACAAAAGCTTTGCAAATGGCAATAAGCACATGAAAAGATGCTCCTGTAACTTTGGACAATGTGCATTAGGAACAATTTTGAATGTATTCTAATTTTATAGTCACACACACACACACACACACACACACACACATATGTATCTACTTTCTTCCTATAGAAAATACACCTGCTGACTAAGCTGAGTTGACCTGCTGGGTTTAAACTCCTTGAAACGCTTATCATATTTGCCATCCTCAGAGAGGTCAGGAACCTCTTTAGGAAATTAGACAGAAGAACAGAGAAAGAAGGTGGCAACAGAGTTATCAGTATTGATCCAAACATGAGGAATTACACTAGGAGAGTCAAGTGATTCTGCATGTCTATCTGCAGTGAGAAGAAAAGACTAGAAGATCTTAGATACTCTGGCTGATTAATTTTCTGATAACTTTGATTAAGATAACTGAAACCAGACGGGCACAGTCCTTCCCATTTTTGTAGTAGGTTCTCCTGGACCACTTGAGATGCTAGAGGATAAGAGTGGAAAAGACTGGAGAGCAAGGAAGAAATGTCCTGGCTGTTGCCATGACTACATACTTGCATATTCTGATTCTGGCTAGTTCACCACTACCATTCTCGCTCTTTTTTTTCCTAAACAAATTAGCATTAGAAGGTAGCCAGGTTACATCTGTACTTCTCAATCTTCACTCATACTTAAACAGCAAAACGAATAAAGTAAAAATCCAGGTAACTCTTTCCCTTCTAGATGATGGTTTTATTGAAGATGACTACCTCCCACAGGTGCGTGGCCATGTGAAAGCCTGCTCCACACATCACCTACCTCCGATGATGGCCGAGTTTCTGTTGACTCCATTTCTTATAGCCTGGCCTTGTCCTGGATTATACGGAAAATCAGCACTGGCTGGAGGGGAAGAAATGGAAAGTCATGTAGATCATTAATCCCAAACAATTTGATATTTAATTTTTGCATACAGCTCATAAAGTTATCTTATGGGAATAAAACTGGCTCACATAAAAACAAATATAATGTTTTTAGAAACTCTGGTTTCTTCTTTAAACCTAAGTTCTCTCTTGAGAGAAGTATTACTAAGTAGATATGGCCAGTACATTCATTCATTCATTCAGCAAACCTTTGTAGAATGCCTACTCTATATCAGGCACCAGTCTGAGTGCTGGGGATATACAGGGAACAACAAAAAAGATGAAAATTGTTATTAATGAGAACTTTCCAAGCCTCACTGAAGAGTTTTGTTTATATAGCCAAAATACTAATCTAAAGCATGAATGTGGTTTTAATTATGACCCTACTTCTTCATAGTGAATTGCCTGAAATTGTAGGTTCCATGATGTAACTCATACACCCACAGGACACAGTAAGATTTGGTTATCAAGACGCATAATTCCCTGATGTAAACCACCCTTCAAAGACTGAGAGTTGCTTTTCAAGGATAAAATCTTATACCTTCACTGCTCATCTTGGGCATAGTTTTAGTTACATATATATATTCTTTTTCATATTATTTTCCATTATGGATTACTATAAGATATTGAATATAGTTCTCTGTGCTTTACAGCAGGACCTTGTTGTTTATCTACTTTATATATAGTGGTGTGCATCTGTTAATCCCAAACTCCTAATTTATCCCTCTCCTGCACTTTCTCCTTTGGTAACCATAGATTTGTTTTCTACGTCTGTGAGCCTCTGTTTCTGCTTCATTTGTATCATTTTTTTTAAGATTCCACATATAAGTGATACAATGTGGTATTTATATTTCTGTCTGACTTCACTTAGTATGATAATCTCTAGGTCCATCCATGTTGCTACAAATGACATTATTTCATTCTTTTTTATGGCTGAGTAGTATTCCATTGTAAATATATACACCACATCTTCTTTATCTAATCATCTGTCAATGGACATTTAGGTTGCTTCCATGTCTTGGCTATTGTAAACAGTGCTGCTATGAACACTGGGATGCATGTGTCTTTTTGATTTAGAGTTTTTTCTGGATATATGCCCAGGAGTGGGATTGCTGGATCACAGGGTAACTCTATTTTTAGTTTTTAAAGGGATCTAATGGCAATAATCTTAATTCATGTCACTCATTACTTCATCCTGTTAAAGGCAACAGCCAATCTTAATCATATTTGCAGTCCCAATGACAAATAGTGCAGACAAACAGCAAACCTAATTGGATGTTCGTTCACTGGTATAATTAAAATCAGTCCATTAAGAGGTGTATAAACATCTGTGTAGCCTCTTTGAATAATAAAGTCACCCATGCAGGTAGAAGTTTGAAAGTCACTTGCCTAAACTCAACTCTACCCTTAAAGCAAGGCAGCATTCTTACTTTTTCCCAACAAAGGAAAGAAACATCTTGAATACAGAAAAGCTGCTAGCGATTCCTGTGTCCACTAGTCTTTGGTTATCATCAGAGAACAACCAATGGAAAACCCTCAGGTCCAACAAAGTCCTTAAGGAGTTCAAGGGCAGGGTTCTGTGTCTGCGTGAACATCCCTATTTTCATGGCTTTGTTTGTAACTCGAGCCTGGTTGTCCTTATATATATGAGTGCTTACATCCTTGGAGGCAAATCCATTTTATTCCGGCAAGCAGAGTCATTGCTATTTTGATATGATTTCAAAAGATTCATTTGTATGTAAATTATTTCAAATGATTTCATTGTTAAGTATCCTCTCCTCTGGGTACCAACATCCTCTTGGAAATGCACACTGAGAAACATGGAGCCGAGGGACACTGACGAGGCCAAACCACAGACCTCATCCACATCACATGCTCCATTTGGCTGCTAACTTTATCCCCCGCCACCCTGCTCCAAGTGTGCTAGGAGAGCAGAGCAATTTTAGTGGCGCTGGAGTATCCACGAACCTATATTTTGGGATGTTAAGTCTGAGGACCAGACTTGCGTCAAATAGACAAAGACTATATTCAATAACGCTTTTCTTCTGTCCCCAAATGACACTTGTGGACAAAGAATGTCAGCTGCTGTACCAGTAAACAATCGATGTTGTGGCCATCAAGCCATAAGCCACTGCAGCCACCCCCACAGTGCACCCTGAGGGGATTCAGGATGGAGAAAAACGGGATACTGGCCCCAGAGCCTCAAGGTGAATACCAAAGGACTGACTTCAGTGAGCCCAGACTCCTGCCTCTTCCCTTGCGTAGTTCAGTGCTCAATTCATTAACTTGAGATGTCTGGTTCTTCCTTAATTAACAGTATCTTCTGATGTTCTAAATACCTTGTTTTGTTGCAAAAACTCCCATATACCTGGGCAAACAACTGGGCTTGATCAGTCGGCCCCCTTCAGATCATGCAATGACGCTGTTTTCTCTGTGGCTGGTGGGCTGTCTGTGTGGCTTCAAAACTGAGCGGGAGAGACATGTTATCGGATGAAGGATAACTGACATGCTGACAGCAGCAGCTGAGCGGAGCAATCCACCAAGGACCCTGACACAACATTGTGGCACAGAGCCCCGGTATTCCAGACGCAAATCCCTCACGGGCCCAAACAGCACAGGGAGAATGGTCATCGCCGTTACAGTAACACTTGTGAAGTCATGAACAGTGCTATCTGTGCCTTCAAACGTTACTATCTGATTAGAATTTTTGATTGCATTAACAGAACGTGAAAAATTAATAGAGGCCGTTTCAAGGCGGGTGCTTAAGTACAAGAAACCGATTTCAAAGCTACTTGTAAGAACAGAATATTAGAAAGAGATCTGAATACTTTAGCCTCAAATTTCTTGCCGGTCCCACTGAGCAGGTAGGGAGAAAAAGGAGTAAGAACCACCCCCCACCCCCCGCTTTTTAAAAAATACAGCACATGAACTTAAGCCAGGGAGTTGTAATTCTTATTTACTAAATTTCATATTGTGTAAAATTGTAGACTTCAGGCTCAGAAACCAACTGCAAATAAAACACACATTTAAATGCATACACATAAATTGAGGTTATCTCACAGAAAACCTCCCCCCAAATGAAAGACACTAAAAGCTTCAGGCTGTCGTATATCCGGGACAAAAATATTAGATAGTGGCTGACATCTAGAGAAAATATTGCCATGGAAACCACTTGGGCTTCAGCATCTAATGGGATAATTTGAGACACTTCAACAAAAATGCTGCTATTAATTGTAATTTCATTTGAATTGCAACATTTTTTTTTACAGTGGAGTCTGAGTTCCATGATGTAAATATGCCTTTGTCCTCTGCAGTTTCTTTGTTTTATTTCACTTTATTTCCTCCCTTCAAATCTGAGCTCTATGGCAGAAAATTATTTTGTCTTTTCAAATAATTTGTCTTAGCCATTCACTATTGACTGATAGTTTAGAAATAGACATGAAAAAAAATCGTTGTCGACGAAGATGCTGAAGATACAGGAGATGCTGTTTTATTTTAGGAGAGGCTACTGCTGAAACTCACGTTTTCAGGAGGGAGAGACTTCTCGAGGCCAGTAGGTTTTTATCCAGGCAAACAATTCGTGGCAGTGCCTCTGTGAGCCTCAGGTTCATCTTTCTATTGTACCCTTTGCCTCAGTTTCTACAGAAAGATGTCAACCAGAATTTCAGAGTTCAAATGGGGAAGAGATGATGAATTTTTGGCTTCGACTAGAGAAGGGAAACAAACCTTAAACGTTTCCAGCTTCTTAAAAGAGCGAGCAAGTGGTAGCTGCTTGCACGAGTGACCAAGGTCCAGTGACCCAAAGCGGATAATCAAGAGAAAAGAAACAGAATAAAGGAACTTGTCATCATCTACTCTAGGTCCTGATGGTTTAAATAACGCCAACTTTATATGAAAGAACTGAATGAGCAATTGATTTTATTAGATTTCCTTCCATCAGTTTTCAGCCAACTTCTAAATTGCTTCAATTGCCTTTTGGGAAGGAGATTTACTGATCTCCCAAACAAAGCTGGCGCTGACTTCTTTTGTCTGATTAACTACTGGTATTTGGATTAGAAATAACTCATTATTGATAGAAGCTCAGATATCGTGTAAACACAAAGACAAGACATAGGGTGTCCTTTTCATGTCAAAGATGTCTTGTTACTTCTCAGGTGGGCAAATCATTGCTTTTTTCCTATTTAATTTTTTGAAATAATTTTTTAAAATATATTTTTACTGAAGTATAGTCAGTTTACAATGTTGTGTCAATTTTTGGTGTACAGCACAATACTTTAGTCATATAGGAACATAAATATATTTGCTTTCATATTCTTTTTTACCATAAGTTACTACGAGATACTGAATATAGTTCCCTGTGCTATACAATGTTGTATTTAGTCGTAGTTGTTCACAAATCAGTTGTCAACGCTATGGCTGGCCCATTACAGGCACTGTGGATCATCAGTTGTCAACAGCTGACTTTCATAGGGTGAGTCCGTGACCTTCCCCATGGCAGAGGTGGCTGAAAAGCAGGATAGCACTTTGGTCAGCATCTTGAGGCTGGTAGGGTCACTGGAACCAGCTCTCCAGACTCATTCAGGACTTTCCATGCATCTTGCTGTAGTTCTCAAGCCAAACGTTGAAAGTTTAGACTGGGGAACCCAGAGGGAGGGGCTGGGAGCCCAGTCGTGTGGCATCTTCCTCCACTATGACCGTCAGGCTCTTCTTTGGGCGTGTGCCATCACTCCTTTCCTCTGCCGCAGGGGTCTATAAATCCATGTTGATGTTAAGAGGAATGCAGGAACGAGGAAGCCCAAATCGGGGGCATAGGATAAATCTGGGAAGTACCATGTAAACCCCTTTCTGAAGGAAAATATGACTCCTAGTGGCAATCAGTAGCAGGACTCTCCCTCCCGGGGCCGGCACTTCCTCGGGGCCTGGAGGTCAGGGACAAAGCTCCGTATTGCATGATGAGTAACTGGGGAAGGGGCAGCTCTT